TGTGAATACGCTGCCACTACAGCAAGAAGTCTGAAGAAACATATTGAATCTAAACATGAAGGAATACGATATCCATGCGATCAATGCGAGTACGCTGCTACTCAAGTAGGTGATCTGAAGAAACATATTGAAAATAAGCATGAAGGAGTGAGATATCCTTGTTCTCATTGTGAATACGCTGCCACTGCTTTAAGTAGTCTGAAGATTCATATTGAAAATAAACATAATGGAGTAAGATATCCCTGCAATCATTGTGAATATCTTGGTACTACAGCAGGTAATCTGAAGACACATATTGAATCGAAACATAAAGAAGCGAGTTATCCCTGTGATCAGTGTGAATATGTTGACCTGAAGATTCATATTGAAAATAAACATAAAGGAGTAAGATATCCCTGCAATCAGTGTGAATATCTTGGTACTACAGCAGGTAATCTGAAGACACATATTAAATCGAAACATGAAGAAGCGAGTTATCCCTGTGATCAGTGTGAATATGTTGACACAGGTGGAAAGAGTCTGAAGTTACACATTGAATCTAAACACATGAAGGAGTGACATATTCAAATGACCTGTGTGAACACGTTGCCACTAGAGCAGGTAATCAGAAGAAACATATTAAAAAACATGAAGAAGTGAGATATCCATGCGATCAATGTGTATACACTGCCTCTACAGCATGTCGTCTAAAGAAGCATATTGACTCTAAACATTAAGGAGTGGGATATCCTTGTTTTCAGTGTGAATACGCTGCCATTACAGCATGTAGTCTGAAGATTCATATTAAAAATAAACATGAAGGATTATAAGATATCCTGGTGATGAGAGTATATATGTTATCATCTTATCCGTGTAAATATGTTGTCATCCTATCCTGTTACTAAAAAATGCATAAAAACTTATCATATTAAGTATGAATGGCTTTACACTGTAAAATTCAAGTCAGATAATTCTATTATTGTAGAATTTATTGTATTTATCTTTTTGTGATTGTAGATTTTCCATTATTATTATTATTAACAATCAACCTACAGTCAAAGAATCATGTCCTGATGGCAATGGTACGTTGAACTCCAGGGTCGAGCTCCAGCCACTGAACATTTTTGCAGAAGGTTATTCTTTGAACAAAACTAAATTTTGAAGATATAGTTATCACAAATATGAAATCGTTTTAAAAAGTTTCGCCTTTTGGGGATATCAATCAAGGATATGCTTACAAATAGACGTAATTTGTGAGCCGGAGAAAAATTGGGTGTAGCTTATATATTAGCATAGTTAAACCGTTAATACTTAAATATGGTAGACTAGGCTTTCAGGGCGCTTCACGCCCATCTCCTTTTTCAACTTCTTCAAATTCTCAAAGTTTAATAAAAAAAAAATTAATTCTAACAATCCGTAAATCTTCCCAGGGGTCATGTGAGGTCCCACAAAATTTGTGTAGCAGTTTTGACGGTTTTTGGATACCAACAGAGAAACAAACAGGCAGACAAGCAAAATAAATAGATTGATAAAGAGTACTAGCCTTTTATTCCTTTTAATTCAAAGCCTATTTAGCTTTGAAATATAACATGTTTTATACAATTTACATATTTCAGAGAGAATGGTAGAAATGATGGAAGAAGATAAAGTTACCATTAAAGAAGAAATCTCTACTGTAGAGGATACATGTA